GATTTTTGGGACAGGGGCCCTGAGGTGGATTCTGAACCCCCTCCTTTAGCTCCGGGCTTTATCCACAATACCACAGGATTATGGATATCCTTAAATTTTCTGAAATTTTCAACCTGGCTGCAACAAAATTCTTCTTCTTCTGGAGTGCAATCTGTGTGGCAGTAGTTGGAACAAGTAGGCTCCTTACATCCAAGAAGATCTTTGTCCCTTGTGGTATACCCACAAACACTGCAGTATCTACTGGGACAATAGCCAGATAGCGTAGATAATCTTGCTATTTTGCGGTGTGAAGTCATCCCAGAGGAGGCTTAGGTTTGAAGTTCACAGGAGAGAGAGAGGGTGGGTGGTGATGTCGTGGGGTGGAGTGTGGGTGGGTGGGGGTGTTTATAGCCGGTGGGTAGTGAGGGCGGGCGGCAGTGGGCCACTAGCTGGAAGTGTTGCCTTCTCACTATCACTTAATAAACACTGTTTATGCTATCCACTTTTCCACTAAAGGAAGATGTTACACAAATCACTGTGTTGCATTGTACCAGCCACGTTGTTATAAAGCACCAGATGCTAGTACATAGCACAAAACACATATAACATTAGACGCTCACTCTGAAGGCAATAGTGAAGACACTCCTAAGGCCTGCCGCTTCCCCTCACACCATGTCTTCACCATACCACACTTAATATCACTGATATTGCTCTCTCTCTCTATATCTCTCTCTCTCTCTCTCTATATATCTCTCTCTCTCTCTCTCTCTCTATATATATATATATATATATAATATTTATATATATATATATATATATATATATTTCTATATCTCTCTCTCTCTCTCTCTCTCTCTATATATATATCTCTCTCTCTTCTCTCTACTTCTCTCTCTCTCTCATCTCTCTCTCTCTCTCTCTCTCTCTCATATCTCTCTCTCTTCTCTCTCTATATATATCTCTCTCTCTCTCTCTCTCTTCTCTATATATAATATTATATATATATATCTCTCATGGGGAAGTGGAACAGAATTCTCTCTCTATAGCCATGCTGTTTAAGGCGACTAAAATGCCAGGCATAGGGCTAGTACCTCTCTCCTGTATATTACTACTAATTAAAAGGAGAAACTTTCGTTTTCCTTTGGCGACTCCCTCCTCGGTGGATACGCCGTGGTTAATAGAAAAATATATATATATATATATATCTCTATATCCTCTCTCTCTCTCTCTCTCTATATATATCTCTCTCTCCTCTATATATATTTATCTCTCTCTCTTATATATATATATATATCTCTATCTCTCTCTCTCTCTCTATATCTATATATTATATAATTATATATATATATTATATATATATTTATATATATATATCTCTATATCTCTCTCTATATATATTCAATCTCTATACTTCTATCTATCTATCTTCTCTCTACTATCTATCTATCTATCTATCTCTCTCTACTCTCTCTCTCTCTCTCTCTCATATAATATAATATATATATATAATATATATATATATATAATAATAAAATATATATATATAGTATATATATATAAAAATACATAATCACGTCTGATATCATCTCTATCTTCTTTTCATGCTATATACTGATCTCTCTCTATATATATATTATCTCTATCTTCACTATAATATAAATCTCCATTCTCTATATATATAAAAATATACTTCTCTCTCTATATCTATCTACTTCTATCTATCTATCTATCTTCCCTATATCTATCTCTCATATCTACTCTCTTCTCTAATTCCCCTCTCCTCTCTATATCCTTTTTATATCTCTCTATATCTCTCTATATCTCTCCCTTTTTCTCTCTCTCTCTCTCAATCTCTCTCTAATCTCTCTCTCATATCCTCTATATCTCCTCCCCTAAACTTATTATCTCTCTCTACTTCCTCTCTATAACTCTTCTCTATATCCTCTCTCTATATCCTCCTATATCCTTCTCTCCTCTCTCTCTCTCCTCTCTCTCTCCCATATCTCTCTCTCCTCTCTATATCTCTCCTCTCTCCTTCTCTTTAAACCTTCTCTTTAACTCTAATCCTCTCTCTCTCTCTCTCTCTCTATATATCCTCTCTCTCTCTCCTCTCTATATCTCTCTCCCCCCTCTCTTCTAACTCTCTCTCCTCTCTCTCTATACTCTCTCCTTCTCTCTCTCTTATCTCTCTCTCTATATCTTATATCCAATATCTTCTCTCTCTCTCTCTCTTCCCCTCCTCTCTTCCCATACTCTCTCTCTCTCTCCTCTCTCTATATTCTCTCTCTCTCTTATATCATTCTCTCCTCTCTCATATCTCTCTCTCTCTCTAAAATCTCTCCTCTCTTCATATCTTTCTCTCTCTCTATTCCCCCTTCTCCTCTATATCTCCTCTCCTTCTCTATATCTCCTTCTCTCTCTCTATATCTCTCTCTCTCTCTCCTATATCTCTCTCTCTCCTTCCCATATTCTCTCTCTTCTCTCTATATCTCTCTCTCTCTCTCTCTATATCTCTCTCTCTCTCTCTCTATATCTCTCTCTCTATATCTCTCTCTCTCTCTCTCTCTCTATATCTCTCTCTCTCTCTCTCTCTCTCTATATCTCTTCTCTCTCTCTTCTCTCTCTCTCTCTCTATATATCTCTCTCTCTCTCTCTATATATTCTCTCTCTCTCTCTCTTCTCTCTCTCTCTCTCTCTTCTCTCTCTCTCTCTCTCTCTCTTCTCTCTCTCTCTCTCTCTCTCTCTCTCTCTCTCTCTCTCTCTCTCTCTGTTTTGTAATATGTCTTCCATTCTATAAAATGAGACCAGGAAAAACTAGAATACAACCATAAATACCATACGAAAATACACTGCAAAGTCGCTGTTTTAAACCAAAAACACGGTCGGAGTTTTTTTTTTTTCATGTACTGTGTGCTGCAGGATTTTTTTATACTGTGCACACTGACCACATAAACCCATTCTTTCATATGTAGGCCTACCAGCTTTCTCTCACTAGATTTGAAGGTGAAAGAATTTAGGCGTTCTAGTACATCAACAACCCTGGTGCGTAAGCCGTACCAGTACATCGGAAACCCTTAAAGGGTTAAGATGGTCTTCGGCAACGATGAATTTTCTTATTTCTTATTTTTACATTTTTTTTTTTTTGACCTAGTGCAGTTGTGCACTTAATAAATGATTCATAAGCAACAGCAAGTAAAAAAAAAAGGCTGTGAGTTGCTTTAAGGCAATACATGTATACACTTTATGGTGGTAGTAGTCTGGAACTTAACTGACCGTATTAGCGAGGTTTGCTGGTATTGTCATGCAATACTGACACTGACTGCTTTTTGGAAGGGTTTTAAATTCATCCAGTGAAAGACTTTCAGCAGGTGGATCTTACAGTAGCTTTTTATACAGTATTTAGAAATGCTAGGCCAATTTTTATATATTCCTTATTAGCAAACCATTAGGACAGGTCAAAATATAACAGAAACACTACCTAACATAACATAAAGGGAGAATGCAGACAATAATATTAAAACAGAAGATTATTAAAAGGGGATCACAAAAGTCTAAAAAATAAATATTAAAGAACTACACACTTAACACAGAAATACCATAAAAGAACAAAATTAACAACATTTCTTCCATCTTTATTTAATAACACTGCTTCCATTTTTTGTCATAAGTGGTAAAACAGAACTTTCCTTTAAACCCCTTAACTGTCCAAACATAGATCTACGTTTTTTCAACATTTGAAAGTATGTAAAAAACATAGATCTTTTTTTTTTTACATTTGAAAACGCGTAAAAAAACTTAGATATACTTTTTTTTTTTGTTATATGCGAAAATATGTAAAAAAAACGTAGATTTACTTTTGGAGCACTATGCATGTGAATGTAAATTTGTTTGGACAGTTTAAGGGTTAAACAAATACAATCACAATGACAATCTGTGATGCAAATTTTGTTGTCAATGCGTTTAACAAAAGTAGTTGTCGACTACAGTAATTTAGACCTTCTCAGAGACTAGGTCTTGACATGGTGTAAAATTATCCACTGTCTTTCCCATAAACCGGTATGACGGCCAAAATAATGTGTGCTACTGAGGCCCCACAGGAAAGCTTTTTCTTAAAAGAGTATTTACAGCACTTACAAGATACAATACATGCATCATTATCATTAAATATATGTTTTTCATATGTATTATATAATGCATATGATAACTAACTAAGCATTAATTGAACCAGAATCCAAGGTTTACTCGCAAAATCTTTACACGATTGCAAACAAACCAAGGTATTACAAGTCATTCAAATGATCTTTGCTATTAAACTATAAAAAAACTGAGTAATAAAATGTAAATCAAATTAGTAATATTGCCATGAAGCAAGCAGCCATTGCAGTAAACCCTGTAATGTGCATCCTCTTACCTAGAGATCCAGTAGATGCCCCACTGCTGATGGATGCCGTATCAGAACAATCATCAGTATCAAGATCAATATACCATCACTCTCACCAGAATCTTCTTTGTTGTTTTCTAAGAGCACACTCCTTCAGCACCTTGAATGTCCTCAAGCGCTGGCACTGGGTTGTTTTAACATTGCAAAGAAATTAATAACATACAATATTTAATATCTATATAATGTGACCCAGCATTATTTCAAATATGAGCATGAAAAAACATAAATAACCCACACACAGGTGACATTAATTAATGGTCCAAGTCAGACAAAAACCTTTTTCTATGTGCAGGTTATTTGTGAATTGTTCCAGTCATGGTATTGTGCCTTTTTGTTCCTATAAAAAAATTGATCTTTGCTTCCAAAATATTATCCAAATTTGTCCCTAGAGATCTCTTATTGTTTTCCACACATTTTTAACAAGAATTCTTCACTAAAGAAAGTAATTTTGACATTTTACACTCATCCTTTGAATGTATTCTTCAATTTTTATTTATTTCTATTTTCTCACAATCTCACATTAACCTCCATGACTTCTCACCCTATTCCCTTTCTAAATAATTTCAAGATGCATACAAGAAAACTTATGAAAAATATTCCTAATTTGTTTTTTCCCTCCCATCACCAGCAAAAATAATGATCTAGTTAAAGGAATTCTTGGATGATGTTCAATTGCTGTGTTAGTTTTGGTGTAAAATTATAACTTAATTTACTGTAACTATATTTCAGTGTTTTCCTCAGTGAAGGTGGAAGAGGGAAAGTGCAAGCCTTCATGTGATCAATTCATAATCTTAATCGCTTTAATACAAGTAATAAGAGCTTCACTTTAAGGAAAACCTGTGGGGATTATTTTTTTTTTTACTTAGTATTTCTTAATATTGCGGAACAGAATTCTTCATCTTTAAGCCATGCATGTCATAAGAGGTGACTAAAATGTCAGGAGCAGGGGGCTAGTAACCGCTTCTCCTGTATATATTACTAAATGTAAATGAAAAAACTTTCGTTTTTCCTTTAAGGCCACCCCGCCTCAGTGGGATGCAGCCGGTGCGTCGAAAGAAGAAAGATTTCTTAATGTTATCCATGGCATCCAAAAAGAATAGTAGTAATGCAGGAGGTGCCAAGAAGAAAATTAAGCATGAAACTTTGATGGTTAAAAAAAAAAAAATGGGGTTTCAGATATGATAGGCAGTGCACGTGACATGCAAACCACAGATCTCTTGGTCTCAGAGAAAATCAACCCATAATTACAATAATTACACACAGCAATCCCCCAAAGATATGAGATTAATGTACCATAAACGATGACTCACAATCTGAAAACTTGTATTGCACAAATGTATATTTAACATTATTTTCCCTTACCAACCATATGTCAATATTTTTTGTTACAATATATCATCTGGAAACAACAAAACAAACAGTACATATACAATGTGAAGTGTGCTTAAACACTCATGTCTGCACAAAAATGCTCGTATGCGATTCTCGTATTGGTGAAAAAAGGCACTTGTATGCTGATGTTGGGTACTAAAGAAAGATGCTCGTATTGGCAAACTCTCATATCAAAAGTTCTTATATCTCACATGATCAGAAAATAACTAATGAGAAATATAACATATCCCATGCCTTTAATAGTTGTGTACCTACTTTAGCTGTATTTTTAAAATTGTTGAATATATTGGTAACTGATAATAAGCATTTGAAAAATTAAATTTGTGGCACAGCCATGACAAATGTGTTTTGAGAGTTTATATGGCCACCACAACTTTTGCCACACTGAGCCATATGAACTTAGTGTAAGCAACTCCCCACACTTTCTCAACACCTCCTACACCACTTGGAATAAGGCTCATTCAGCCTTTAAAAAAAAAAAAAAAAAAAAAAAAATATTGCAATACAAACTACAGTGGTACCCTGAGTTTCGACCATAATTTGTTCCAGAAGGCTGTTCGAGTGCCGTTACCAAACAAATTTATTCCCATAAGGAGTATGTAAATTAGATTAGTCCATTTCAGACCCCCAAAAATACACTTACAAAAGCACTTACAATAATACACTTACATAAATGTTCAAGTTGGGAGCTGTACGAAACTCAGGGCACCACTGTACTGCCCTTTTCTTTCTTATTACATTTTCAAATACATTTATCTTTGGTAAATGTTTGTTTGGTAAAATATGGTAGGGAAATGTGGCTCACTCTCCACACAAACTTTTTTTTTGGTGGTTTCGTGAATGTAACCCTATTTGTCCATTATGTTCTTCATTTTAAAGTTAATTCATACAATGCATCAATTTTTGGAAATCTAACCCATGTAATAACAATTTTAGCATAAAACCAATAAATTTATGTAAGATTTATCTAAAAGTGAACAAAAATACGACATCAAATAAACTACCGAGTTCTTGTTCACTCGTTGACCTTCTAACTTGTTTATGAAAGCTCTAAACCTGTAAGAGCCACAAAGTGATTGGGAAATGGGAGGAACACACAATTAAGTTTGATCAAAGGAAGGGAAGGTCCAATTCCTTGGATCAAGAGCCCCCTCACTGGAATCAAGGCACCTTCAAGTGGCCTTCAAAAAGGAACAAAACATCCACCCATGAAAAGGGTAAAAATATTTTAACTTCCCAATATTAATTCAAAGGGAAGTTGTTCAAAGAGAGGAAGCACCATATCATTAACCCGTAAATGGTCCAAACGTATATATACGTTCACTACCCAAGTGCACCGAATATTTTGAAAATAAAAAAATCATTTTTTTAATGAAAATAAAGAGCACATTTTCCTAAGCGTTATAGGATTAAAATAAAAAAATTAGGGTCAGTACTTACTGAGCTATGAGGCTATAAAGTTGCCACTTAATGCTCACCTGACGGCAACAGAGTCCTGCCACTTGCAGAAGTGTTACCGATATACCATTTTTTGTCATTTTCATATTACTTTATATAATTTTTATGTTCTGATAATTACAATTTATTGTAGTTCTTGTCATTTCATAATCAATCATTGTTCTGACACTAATATTAGGTACTGAAATTGTACTCAAATTGTCACAAACACATTGACAGGTAGACATTTACACCTGCCTTGGTCATTTACTAATGTCTAGGAATATTTATAGGTCCCAGCAATGCTCTGGATACATGGGAATACAGAAGAAGGAAGAAAGAAATTCCCTTGATAGCAATGTGTAAGACAAGTGTTCAGTCACAAGCATCCAGGAGGGCAGTGATAAGATCAGTTATGAGATGACATTTGATGGGCTTCAGCAAGGGTGCAGAGATGAGATAGTGCAGAGATAAGAGGAGATAAGCTATGACATTTGATGGGCACCAGGTTGGAGAGTGCAGAGATAAGGGATGACATTTGATGAGCTTGTATCTCTGATTATCCGTCTCTCTCATTTCTCTGTCTGCTTGTCTCTTTCCATCTCTCTGCTTGTCTGTCTCAGAGAGAGCCACTGTGAACCAACAGGTATTCTTATGCATTATATCTACAAGCACAGTATAGCACTTCGGATTTTTTAGGTTATCCTAAGTAATTTACAGTATGTATTACTGTATTGGTGTGTACCTGTGAGACAGACAGAGACAGATAGAGATAGACTGACAGAATGAGACAGATAGGCAGACCCTAAACTTGGGGTTAACATCACTTTCCTCTTAAGATGGGAGTGTTAATACGACATTACATCAGTGAATCCTTGGCGTTTGCCCCACTGTTTGCTCTAGCTGGCGCTCCCACAAGGTACTAAGTGGTCCCAGATTTTTTTAATATGGTGCACCCATTCTATGGTGACCAGGCATCTCAGGCCAATCGTGCCAAATTTGGAGGCAGGAAAAATAAAATGTATATTTATGTTTGGGGCACTAGCAGTAAGAACGTATATATACGTTTGGATGTTTACGGGTTAAATAATTATTGACATATTGTACATCCAGATAAAGATAAACCATTATTAACCCTAATTACCTTCAGGTCTAAATAACCATCATAATGAATTTTGCTTATGAATACATAAAAGCAGCTTGTGAATGAGATAGCTACCTTCAGTTCCATTTGCTTGTGATGAACTAATAGTGGGATCTGCAAATAAATGATAATAAGCAATAATCAAATGAACCAGAAAATATTCAAGGCAAATAAAGGCTGTGTTTAGTACTAATCTGTGGTAGGATATGCCTAATACCATATTATTTGTCATGAGTTCTAGCCTAAGGTGAAAGACAATATTTGATGTCTTCTCCCTTCACATACAAAACATGTTTTTCTGCAACTGTTTATAGTATGAGATTAGGTGACGAAAGACTGGATATCAGACTGGAGGGAGAGAGTATGGAGGAGGTGAATGCATTCAGATATTTAGGAGTGGACATGTCAGCAAATGGGTTTATGAAGGATGAGGTTAATCACAGAATTGATGAGGGGAAAAGGGTGAGTGGTGCACTTAGGAGTCTGTGGTGCACTTAGGAGTCTGTGAAGACAAAGAACTTTGTCTGTGGAAGCAAAAAGGGGAATGTATGAGAGTATAGTTGTACCAACACTCTTGTACGGGTGTGAAGCATGGGTGATGAATGTTGCAACAAGGAGAAGGCTGGAGGCAGTGGAGATGTCACGTCTGAGGGCAATGTGTGGTGTGAATATAATGCAGAGAATTCTTAGCTCAGAAATTAGGAGGTGTGGGATTATCCAGAGGGCTGAGGAGGGGTTGTTGAGGTGGTTCGGACATATAGAGAGAATGGAACAAAACAGAATGACTTCGAGAGTGTATAAATCTGTAGTGGAGGGAAGGCGGGGTAGGGGTCGGCCTAGGAACGGTTGGAGGGAGGGGGTAAACGAGGTTTTGTGTGCGAGGGGCTTGGACTTCCAGCAAGCGTGCATGAGCGTTTTTGATAGGAGTGAATAGAGACAAATGGTTTTTAATACTTGACGTGCTGTTGAAGTGTGAGCAAAGTAACATTTGAGGGGATTCAGGGAAACCGGCAGGCGGGACTTGAGTCCTGGAGATGGGAAGTACAGTGTCTACACTCTGAAGGAGGGGTGTTAATGTTGCAGTTTTATAACTGTAGTGTAAAGCACCCCTCTGGCAAGACAGTGATGGAGTGAATGATTATGAAAGTTTTCTTTTTCGGGCCACCCTGCCTTGGTGGGAATCGGCCAATGTGTTAATAAAATAAAAATAAATATCTACTGGCTTAAATAACCGCTAATACTTCAATCAAGAAAGCAAGAATTTTTTAAATGTCTATTATAAACAGCCTATTACAAGAAAGTAAAACTACATCAATCTGTCTCTCATTAGTCATAACAAATTTATACGTATGTTCAACATAACTTAAGCACAAACTACTGCACTTCATAAAATGCATATATCTTGTGAGTTACACATCTACCTATTTTTAATTATACATCTACATAAATCTATATATGCCAGCTCCCACATTCAACAGTTAGCTGAAACAGCATAATTTGTTTTTATCTTTAGTATCTACCAAAGAAGAGTGCTTATGAAACAACTAGGGCAATAATTTATAGAGGGTGAAAGGAAGACACAGACATGTTTCCACACTGATCTGCCAAATATTTAGTGACTGAAAATGTTGTACATCCCTGTTCTACAGAATCACTGATTTGAACATGGGAACTGACATAGCTAGTGTGCTATACTGTAAAAGATTGAGTTAGTATACTCCAATAAAATGATACACATAAAGAGGGTGTTATAAATACTCGTATTTACAGTTCAAGCTACTAGATAGATGAGAAGTATGAAGTGCAAACTTCCACTTTAAACTTTTACTAAGAAAACCAGAACTGGATAATACATAAAAATAGATTAGTCTAGGACTGCATATAATAAAGCTACAAGTAATAATATTCACTAGGTATCTACATAAAATATAATCTCAGCCTAAAGCTGTTACAAGCTCATTATAATCACACAAATTTAAGGGAAACTAAACAATTATCTTGCCATATGATACCTTTTCAACACATTAGCAGCACAAAAAATTATCTTAAATTTACTCTCGATAATATTTTATAATGAAGACAATGTATCAGTCAAGCATACAATTATCATCTTACTCAACTACTGTGGAGAAGGGCTCATGGCACACACACACCTTTTTAATTCAAATGCAATTTCAAACTATTTTTTGTGAATTTATAATAAGATGGCACTGATTCTCACCATACCTGTGATATCTTCAACAGCACCAGATAAAATACACCGTACTTTTCTCTCTTNGCAAAATAATTCATTAGGAAATCAAAACAACAAAATATATAATGAACCAACTGAAAAATGTAATTATTTACAATAACAAATGTTTGTTATTATATAAAAAAAATCAAAATTAAAATAATTTTTTTTTTTTTTTTGCAAAAAATAACTAATGAAAAATATATAACATATTAAAACCAGCATACAGAGAAAACATGCACTCAGCTATTACATCCTATATTAAAAAGAACTTCATTTACAAGATTAAATAAGTCAACAAGGGAGAAGAAAGAAAATACTGTATTACAGTTGGCCCATATTATTGTCAAGTTTGAATCATATTGTAGTAATCACCTAAGATTAAATGACCTGAGGCATTCCAACTCTTTGATCAATAGCCTTTTACCTTTAAAGCATCCCCCCCTTTAAAGGGCAAAAATCTAAAACTTTTAAAACACTTTGCCAGATTCCTGTGTAAAAAGTATAATCCTGATCTAAAGGAAGACAAGTTTTACACGAGAGTAGGGAAATTTTAAAGTAATTAAAATTGACTAAATGATTCATGGGTTTAAAGTGTTCTTATGCTTTTTGTCCCTCCAACATTTTAAAACCCCTTTAAAAGGTCCAAACTAATATTCGTTTTTTCAACATTTGAAAGTTGTAAAAAAATGTAGATCTTCTTTTTTTTTTTTAATTTAAAAATGTGTAAAAAAACTTTTATCTACTTTTTTTTTTTTTGTTTTTTTGAAATATGTAAAAAAAAATTTAAACTCTTTTGGAGCACTAGGATTTTAACGTCGATCTGTTTGGACCGTTTTAAAAGGGGTTAAACCTATTTGAATACAAAAAAGCTTTAAAAGGAAAAAGCCACTTTCATGCCCCTTTTAATGATTGCTCATTTTTGAATGTTTCTATACTTTTTAAATAGGCATTTTATGAGTCAGATGGTACTAAAAAGTATACAATCATTTTCCTCACTTAACGACAGAGTTCCGTTCCTAAAACCACGCCGTAAAAAAATTCGTTTGCTCAGTGGGAGCATACATAATGGTACTGGGGTTTTGTCGCTCTTGATATTGTTTTAATGTACCCTTTTCACCATTTTAACATTTCTGGTATCCAAATTTTTTCAAAAAGTTAGGTGATGAAAGATTGGGGTATGTGTGATGATGGTTTGAAAAACCCAAAAATTGAGATTGGACGTCTCAATCTTTAAAAATTTGGATTCAGATTGGGGGGAAAGATGGAGGGGTGAATGTATTCAATACAGTGGACCCCCGCATAACAATTTTTCCGAAGGCGACCAAATTTATGTAAGTGTATTTATGTAAGTGCGTTTGTACATGTATGTTTGGGGG